ACTCTGGACCTGCCCCCCTCATGGAGAGCAACAGGAGGGAACTGGCACTGCTTCCCGTTCCTTTACCCCTTTCATTGTTTAAAACAATTGTAGCTTCTCTCCGAAATGACCATACTGTGAAACTGTTTTATGTCCTCATTTTTAAGTATTCTCTGTGGTCAGCCTTAATAGTGAATGAGTGAGTCGTTATATTTATCTCACCCCCACAACACACCCAAAACGGCAAAATCGAGTTCCCCTTGTTGGTCAGTAGCCCTTGGGAACAAGATAAATTTCCTACTCCTATAAATGTGATGGGGCTTTCTTTTCTGTTCTCTGCTGACTCCCTCTGCTCATTTGGAAACTGCCCCCTTGTACTTGGTGCCCACTTAACGCGGCCTCAGGAAGGGCCCCAAGTGTTTTCTTCTCCGATGGGGTGCTCCTCTGTGGTGAAGGTCAAAGGTATTGCCACATTTGCTACTGACCATGCTTCTCCTCTTTGGGATCCCTTATAAAGCAGATAAGAATTATTATTCTCCCCCAGATGCCCAGGGCTGAATCCCATCGGCTTCTCTAAGCCCTGCTGCAGCGCTCCCCCACCCTGGTGTCAGCCTCCTAACCAGCCTTTTCCTGGGCGCACCTGCGCACTTTGCAGGTCATGAATTGCCCGTGTGAGTTTAGCATTCCATCCCTGGAAAACGGGCCTGGCAGAGGCCCGCAACAAGCCTCCCCTGGTCCAGCACTGAGCCCAGACTGTGAATGACTCTCACCTGGCGCCAGGATAGGAGGAGGCCTTGGCACCTGGGCGTGGCAGAGTACAGACCCCACTACTGACTCCCATCTTCATTAACTGAATCTGCTGCCTTTTCTCCTAGACATTCCAGAAGCATTAGTTGGTGCTGTCATTGTATAGTGTCTGAAGAGAAGATATTTAGTCCAGGGTCAAAAGCCTTAACTGAAAGTTCCTACTAAAAAGCCAAGCATCATTATTAAATTGTCTGAGAGGTAGCCATGACATTTGAGGAAGTAATGAAATGGCCATAAATGATGTAAGCTTTGCAATGAGCAGGCGTGTTCACAACTCCTGACATCTGGAGAAGAGAGTGAGGAGCCTCGGCCTCAGCTGGTTCCCACTGACCAGCTCAGCAAAAAATCCAATTAGAGCAGCTTTTAAAAAGGGGTGATTCTACCTGGTGGTGTGGACACTGCTCCCCCAGGAGCAAGGCTGTCTGAGGGAGCTGTCCAGATGGCTGCTCCCCGCCCTTCTGAACTGGAGAGCCTCCTCTTGTGAATTGAGTCCGCGGTTTTGTGCCCCTTCGATTGCTATTCCAGACCCTCTTCCCATGAGCGGGGCTGGTTTCCAGACCCCATTAGTGGATCTGTGGTCTCTGGGCAAAATTTCACAGTTTCCCCAGAGAACGGTGGTGTCTGCAAGATGTGCATTTGGTTAACATGTTGAAGAGGCCTCTCATAAATTTCAGAGCAACAGGAACTGAACAACTTTGAAACTCCAGCTGCAGATGGGCTCAGTGTGAGATATGCTCTGAGCACCGGAACATTTGATTTTCCCATCAGCCCCCAACACTAATGAGACCCCGCGCCTGGGGGAGCCAGTGCAGGGCCCTGAGCTGCTCCCCACCTGGCCCTCCCAGGGGCCTCCTTGGAGGTTCCCTGTCGCCCTTCACTGTCTTCCTTTCTTCAGTGACTATTGTTTTTTCATTTAAGTATCTGGATCTTTCCTTCGTTCACTTGGGAATTCCTTGAGTCTTCAGAAAGGAGATTGAAAAACGAGGGAGAAAGGAAAGACTGGTGAGAAAGATAGAGAGTAGACGAAGGAGAGGAAGGGACAAAAAGTGAGGAGCTGAAAGACTCATTCTCTGGGAAGATGCTTCAAATTCGGGGGTTTCTTTGGGAAGCTCATTTTTATAAAATAAGTAGAGGCAGTTGCTTGGCACCCCTGGGGAGCTGGTGCTAAGTTACTGAGCAAATCCCCCACCTGTTGTGACCACCAACCTTGCCTGTTAGATTCTGAGGTGCTGTTGAGAAACCCCCCCCCCACCCCTGCCCTGCTCCTCCTGAGCCTTTGGGAAGCTCTGGGCTTGTCTGTGCCAGCTGATCATGCTGCAATGTTGGGGTTTTCTTTGTTGATTCTGATGGTATCTGAGGCAAACGCCTTCAAAAACCCCAAAATAAGGGCAGTTACTACCCCCCTCCTTGTGGCAGGCTTCACATTTGACGCAGGGCTTTTAGGTGCTGTCTCTCCATCTGTCTCCCTCCCTCTCTCCTCCTCCCTTCTTTTCCTTCCAGGCTGTCTCCTCCCCTGCATCCCCCAACAGACTTACACACCTCTTACCCATTTGCATCCCCTTTTTATGGTACGTCTTTTTATAAAGCCTCCTCAGGTCATTAATGAGAAGAGGCAAATTTCCATAAATACAGGTTAAGTGAGACAGTGGCATGGAGTCCACGCCTCACCAGTTTGGAGGGCAGCGTTGCCAAAAGACAGATCCAGAGCTTTTCCTTGAGTGCACTTCTATTGACCTGGCCCCTTACCCCAAAGAACTGTAGCAGATTTCAGGCATCAGTGTCACACAGGAGTTTGAAGAACTGGAAGATCATCAGTTCTAAAAAAGATCCCTTTCAGCCTCCCTGTCATATTAATGTTTCTATGAGGACTTTTGTCTCCATCCTTCATTTCCTGTGTAATCCAAGCCTGAGTCTGAAACATTAGCCTATGTCAGAATTACCTGGAGGGCAAACGTATTCTATATCAATGATCTCAACACGCCTTACTTTAAAATTCACCTGAGAGCTTGTCACACAGATTCCTGGGCCCCACCCCACAGATGCTAAGTCAGCAGGTCTGGGATGGGGTCCAGGAATCTGGCTTCCTAACGAGCTCCCAGGATGTGAAGCTGCAGGTGCACAGACCATACCTTGAGAAGGCTGGCTCCAAGCCGTGTCAAGGGGCTCCCTCTAGCTGCTTGGACACGGTTGTCTAAAGCCCTTTGGTGGAGCTTATTAAAAGCCTTTTCAAATTAAATGAAATCAAATTCGATGCTCTAGTCTCCAGCCCCTTCACCTCTCCATATTTCCTCCATCGTGAGTTTAGTGAGCACAGAAGAGCCAGTTACGTGAACTCCATACCCTTCCAGTCTCAACTTAACATCCCAGTGTACACTGTCACTGAGTGACCGAGTCCATTCATCAGCCACTCCAGCCTGGGACTCAAAGGTAACGGCAATCAGCCAAGCTCATTGGACCCCATGCTCTGGAAGCTGCTTCTACACAGACACCAGCTGCATCCCAGAGCAGGGGGACTGGCTGTCCTGGGTGGACATCTCCACCTGGTTTTGGGTTGCCCCACCTGTCCTCACAGTTGAAAGTTACAATCAATCATTAGGGGCTGACAGAGACCTTGGGCTTTTGGTTACACTTCTTTGAATTTATGGCAGAGGAGGGAAATGATGTACTCTGTGGTCTTACCACATGTGGGCATCTTTGGCATCTGGGATTGTCAGTGGTAATAGGAAAGCTGACAGCTGAGTGGTATGGACCAATTTGTTGAGAACAGTACTTGAGGTTGCCTCCTTCAACCTCAAAGCCAACGTGGGGGTGGGGGGGGACTCCCCTCCTTATTGAGGCAGAGTCAAGCTGGGACAGCCCAAATGCTTCATCCAGGTGGGAGAGGCAGGATTCAAACCCATGTCTCTCTGCTTCAAAGGCCCAGGCTCATAACCACTAAGTACTACTCTCTCACTGTCCACAGCATTTATATTTTTAGCTCCTGCTATTTCCACTCAATTATGAGATTTCCACAATTATGAGACTCCTAGAAGCAATTCTTGAATAGAGAGAGCCAGCAATGTGAGTTCAATATTTAGTGGTTGTCTAAAACCCACAATACAGAATGGTCTGTCCTTTCTCAAAAAGCAAGGACTCCAAGAACATGTTCTTTCCAAAAACAGTAAGTGGAAAAGACGCACTTCCCAAATCCCCAACACAAATGTAAGAGGACCCTTTGAAAGAAGCCATGGAAAGTACATCCATTATGCCATCTTGAAATAGCTGCCTGCTGTGTCTCAAGTGTCATTTGGATTAAATAAGATAATTGATTGGCACCTAATACAATAAATCCAAAGTCATGTCTCTCAGTCTAGCCAGAGGTGTTCACGTGTTGTTCTTTACAGTTCTCCTCGCTGGCTAGTTATTTTTATTCCTGTCTGAAAGCCAGGGAAGGAATTCCCTGAGAGGTTTGGTGATACTCCAGGCTCTGGAGAGTGATGGGCTGTGAGTAGAACCCATCTCTACCCCAACTCTTTTCCCTGCCCCACCCCCCTTGGCTTGCCCAGTACTGCCCATACCAGCTCCTGGATGGACTTCTGGGCCTCAGGCCATCCTGTACTGCCATGCCTTTTCTCACCTCCTTAGAGGAACCCTGCTACCCTTTTCGCATATATCCTCCCCAGACTTTTTCTTTCTGTCTGAATTGCTTCATGTTTAAATGTTTAGTAGAATCCTATGATACAGACCATATTGGAAACATACTTGTTTCACTTGCAATATTATGTCACAAACATCTTTTTGCATTTTCAATCGTTTGTCTTCAGCATCAATTTAATGACTCTATTGTGCTCTTATATCTTTCTTCTGGTCTTTCGTGTTTAAAACAGATTTTTAGGAAGGCTGTCTTTAAAAAGTAAAATTAGATTGCTCTGGGTAATAGGCTTTAAATAGTAAAGTTGCTCTGGTGTCTTTGAATTATACTGAATCTTTTGGAGAGATTGCTACTTTCCACAAAAGTGAATAAACAAAGCCCTGCTGCAGAGCACGGGATGCAGGAGGCTCTCTGGTTCTGGACTGGCCATTAGAAAGTGAGTGTAGAGGAAGGAAGCTCAGGTGGGGACCAGAAATCCTAGCTCTCAGGGCTCCACCCCTTCTTGATCAGAGAGGTAGGGGTTGGGGGACCTGTCTTCATTATGCAGTGGATCTGAGCCAAATGTCTTTTCTCTCCCCAGCAGATCCCCCTGTGGCCGCAGCTGTGGTGTCCCATTTTAATGAATGCCCGGATTCCCACAGTCAGTTTTGCTTCCATGGAACCTGCAGGTTTTTGGTGCAGGAGGAGAAGCCAGCATGTGTGTAAGTGTCCCCTGGTGTCCTGGGGGGTGGGCAGCCCAGTTCAAAGAGCAATCACCTCCATCAGGTGTGCCTGAGGCCCCTGGAACCAGACATGTGAGATGATCGGGACAGCTGAGGGACCCTTTGCTTCAATCCAGATGGCTAAAAATCCAAATTTAAGGGCCCCATCCAGAACCACTGAGGCAGAAACCTTGAGGGGAGTGGAACCTGGGGACCTGCATTTGTTTACCAAACAGCTCATGCCATTCCTGGGTTCAGCAAATTCCTGGATTCAAGTTAAGTGCACTACCTAGAATTTCTAGAAGGAAAGGCATTGGGCTGGATCCCTTTGAGTGACCAGGGTCTGTAGGATGAGGTTTCTACCCTCCAGCATCATTACAGGAGGCTAATAAAATTAGCTGCAAGTGCACACAAACTTAAGTGGTAACTGGACAAAGAACAAACTTGGAAATAAAAATGCATGCCTATTCCCACGTCAGGCCCAGCATGAGCTCCCTGGAGCTTCCTAAAGAGTAGCTAACTAAGTCCACCCCAACCAACTGACTCGAAACTCCAGGAAAGAGACTCAGGAATCACATTAGTCAAGAGCCACTGGTGACTGCCATAGTCAGCCAGACCAGGGAGGAAAGGCGCTTGAGGAAAGCATCCCAGAGCAGGTAATAGGATTTGTTTCATCAGGATGAACAGAAAGTTTACTCCAAAGTGAGAGAGTCTGGGGACCTGCTGTTGCAAGTCAGAGCAGCTACAGCAGTGTGGAGATGAGACTGGAGTCAGATCAGAGGCCAACGCCTATTGGAAGAGGGGCTTTATTCTCTAGGCATAATGGGAGCCATGCTGGTTTTGGAAAGGGATGTTTTCAGATAATTAATCTGTCCATTATAGATTACTGTTAAGTGGCCCATACTCAACGTTGGCATTCTTGGCATTTGGAGCTAGAAAATTCTTAGTTTAGGGAGCCATTAGCAGCACCCCTGACCTCCACCCCCTAAATGCCAGTAGCACTGCCACCATAACCCTATCGAGACAATCAAAAATGTCTCCAGAAGATAAAATTTGGCCACTTGTGAGAACACAGATGGAGCTAGAGGGGATTATGCTAAGTGATATAAGCCTGAAGAAGAAAGACAAATGCAGTGTGATTTCACTCATTTCTGAAATATTAAAAAAGAAAAAGATAAAACAAACCCTTAGACTCTGACAACAGAATAGTGGTTACCTAAGGTGAAAGAGGGGGAAAGGAATGGGGGTGGAGGGAGGCAATTGGTTGATGGTGGATAGTGACTGGGCATGTGGTGGTGGCCATGGAGAGGTGAGAAAATGTATCCCCAGAAGGTATACAGTGTTGTAAACTAATGTCACCTCAATAAATATCAATAGATAAAAAAGAAATTGCCTGAGGTGGAGAAAGGGGGTGGCCCCAATCACTGATCTATATGACAATGCCATTTCTATAGCACAAAAATGGTTGAGGGCCTCCCCTGGTGGCGCAGCTGTTGAGCGCTGGGCTGTGAAGCTGCCCGCAGCCTCTGCAGCGCCGGTTCGATCCCCGGCCACCGGCGAGGGTCCCACATGGCGGCTCAGACTCCTCCTGCCGTGCCCGCTGCTCCCCTCAGCAGTGTACTTCGTCGGTCTGCCTGTTCTGCTCCCAGCTCTGGCTCTGGTGAATTCTCTTACCCTCCCGCGCTTCTGACTGTACCCAGTGCTAGTATAAATAAATAAATAAATAAATCTTTTAAAAAAAAAAAAAGAAAGAAAGAAAGATTTAAAAAAATGCTTTAAAAAAAATGGTTGAAAGCCAGCAATTTCATATGGCCCAACCTAACCCCAGTAAATAATACTGAACTTTTGCTTATTGCCATGCGCTCTCCATGCGTTCACGCTTGTAATCCCCGCAACGATCCCTGAGGTAGGCACAGAGAAGTTACCCCTAGGTCACATAGCAGAGCTCTGGCTCCTGAAGCAGAGTCCACGATGTTTAAATGTATCAGATGCTTTAGCCTGGAAAAGCTTGGGGTCCAGGAGAGCCTTTTCCCATAAGCAGTGCAGTTAGTGCTCACCTCTTCCTGAGGCACAGCTGTCTGAACCTGAACAGGCTTACTGGCCACTTCCTCCTGGGGGGAGGACAATGTGAGGCCCCCAAGTCATGCCTCCAGAGCTAAGAAACACCCCCAGGTGAGGGCCCTCCCCACACCCTGAATACAAAGCACATGATGATAGTAGACACTGTCTTTATTCATGATTATCATTCTTGTTTAAATACACATAGAGGACCCTGGGGTGGGTTGGGGAGGCTGCTAGAATTGTTTTGTTAGTAACCAGATCACTGTGGGAAAATACTGGCCCAGAAGGCAGCTAGGAAACTCCCAGTGCAGCAGGCAGAGACATTCTTCCCTTAACATGACACAGTGCAGGGGGACCTTAGGCTGGTGTATTTATTGGACAGATCTCTTTGAGGAGACTTCTGATCAAAAGAAAGCCAGCAGCTCAATGTTTCCACCTCAGGTGCCTTCCCCACAACAGCAGGGGCAGCTGTCCACTTCCTGAGAGCTGGGTCATTAGCTGAGACAAAGTCACCCCCCTTAATTATAGCCAAGACCCCCGTCAGCTGGGTGGCTATTCTCTTATTCTCCTTAGCCTCAGTCACAAGTACTGCTGTTGGCTCAAGGGCAATCACTGTCCATCATATTCACGCGTCATCACATTTTGGTAATCAGGATGACTGTGTCTTTCCATTCACATTATAAATATTACTATTAATAATGATAGTAATAACAATAATAGCAGCTCCAAATATGAATTGTATCTATGTGCCAGGTGCAGCTGGAGCTAACTTATGGAGTCCTCACAGCACCCCTCTCAAGTAAGGTCTCCTGCCCTTATCATGTAAGTGGGCAACTGGAGGCTCAGAGAGTCCCAGATCCAGCAAATTCCAGAGCTGGAATTCAGTCCCTTCCAACCACCAAACCCCTGCTCTCAGCTTCTGCCCCAGAGGACTCTGGGGCCCAGCCTCACAAAGTTCCCCTCAAATTACTAAGTTCTTTTGTTTCCAGGAAAGGCTGATGCCTTGCCCCTGCAGGTAAACCTTCCTCCAGAAAATAGGTCAGAGTCAGTCCCCAAGCCATTGTCCTGACCACAGACTCTTACCAGTTCCTTCCTGTGTGAAGTCAGTGGGAACTGCTGAGACACCCATGCCCTTTGGAAAAGCTCATCATGTGGGAGCAGCATGGCCAGGCAAGTGCTCAGCGCTCTTCACCTCAGCGACCCACTGGATCTTGGTGGCCCAGGGGCAGTATTCAGCCCACAGTTATGTTTTATATGCAGTGGATGATGATCTTCATTGTTCTTTAATTAGTTGTCATCACTGTAGAGAAGTCAGGTTCCACATCTCCACGCTGACAACGCCCAGCTTCTCTTGAAGGAGCAGCAGAATGACAGCTCCAAGCCTGTGCTGGAACACGCAGCCTTAAGGCTGAGATGCAGGTGCACCTCCCTGCACCCCAACCCCCACCCCAGTTCTCCAGCTCCCAGCCCTGCTGCTCTCCACACTGACACAAATGTCATTCCCCCTTCATCCTGTTGCCACCTCTATTCTGTTAATGCTTGCCCACTTTATTCACTCCTGCAGCTGCCACTGGAGCTTGTAAGCTCAGGGAGGACAGGACCACACCTATACTTTTTTTGATTTCTGATACCTAAAAGAATGTTCTATTTAGTTAATTCCTACTAGACCAGAAACTCTGAATCTGCAGAGAAATCTGTTGGGGAGGAAGCAAATCATCTACCCTTCTAGGTCTGTACAGCTGGAAAATAATTAAATTGACATGAGAGATTAGAAAGAAAAAAGACAAACTTTAATTATGTGTGCATAGAATAATGGAACCTACCATCTGATCATTCCAGTGAAGTTATATAGTCTCTAGGAAGAGGGCACTAAATTTCGGAGAGAAAAACAGAACAAAGAACTTGCAATTTAAAGAAAAAGAATGTTGCAGGATTTAGCTGCGAATAAGTGGAAAAGAGACCTGCAGGCTCTCAACCTGGGATGATAAGGCAGTAAGGTTGTCTCTCATCTCCCGGATCATCACAGAATGGATTTATTTCCTGTTTTTAAGGAAAGAGATAACACACATTCTGGTCCATAAAACTGACATACCTTGATATTATGGCCGCCTCGTGGCCATATAAATTAATCCTACAGTGAGTCAAGATTACAGTCTCAGAAGAGGGAACTTTTTCTTAATACTATCATTCTTAAGCTTTGTTTTCAATATAAACAATCATCTTTCAGTTCCTGAGATTCTAAAGTGACATCTCACACTAAAATGAGGTAAAGAAAAAGAATTAAAACAAACAACTAGTCAGGGAGAGCCAAAAGTAGTGAAAATGGGCCTTAAAGATTTATGTCTAAGGAACCCCGGATTGTATTTTATGTCTCCTTTTCATAAATCCCATGGTGCTCAACTATATGAGAAAACAGGGGGGGGAAAAAGCCATAGAAATGCAAAGTTAGGGCCGCACACCATTTATTCCCTGAGGCAGAGTCCCCACACTGTTGGTTTGCTGCCTGCAAAAGCCTTCAAACAAAGGCAAACAGTTGAAAGAAGCCACCCAGGTGACTTGTTTTGAGGGTTCCAGCAGTTGGTAGCCAGCAACAACCAGTTTGAAGCTTCTCACCTGTCCCAAGTGCTGCTCCGTGACTGAACTCCCCGACTTAACTTTCCCACAGCAAAGTGTGAAAACAAATTGCTGTCAGCCAAAGAAAACATTCCACATGGTCCTGGCCACAGCGCATTCCAGTGGGATCTGACAGAGTCAAACACCCAGAGAAAAGTGACCGCCATCCCTGTGCCTGCCCAACCCAGGACACCTCCCAGGAGACTGGATGAGGAGTGGTTTTCTGCTGGTTCCTAGCCACTCCATGTAGGTCTGCTGTCATTTCAACCACCAGCAGGTGGGGGTTGGGGAGTGGCAGGAACAGAAAGTTAGGACTTCACTGCTAC